GCAGCGCAGGGAAACGCTGTTTACCTTCCCGCCGGAGCGGTACCTATTTATCTACTTGCGCTTTGACGTGCTTTTGAACTGTCCCAGATTTGTAGAAGCTGTCCTGGCTTCTGATTTCATCCCATAATGTCCCACTTTTCCTTAGGATGTCCCTATTTTCATCAGAGTAGTGTTGGAGGGTACGGAGTTAATGTGACCCCCGAGCCAAGGAGATGAGAAACTATACAACTTTTAGAAGACATCTGAAGGCAGCCCTGTATAGGGAAGTTTTTTAATGTTCAGTGTTTTATTATGTTTTCACATGTGTTGCAACCTTCCCATTGTGGCTGGGGCACAATTGTTGCTGTTGTTTAAAAGGACATCCCTATTTTCATTGGAGAAATGTTGGAGGGTATGCATATAACAGTTATGTAACAGCTATGTGGCAGCGATTCAGCAGCTGAAGTTATTCCTGGCATATGGATGCAGCGATGAGAGGATATCTTCACCTGCTGAACTGCTGCTTGATAGCAACTGTAAAGCCACAGGAACCCTATAAAAAGAAAGAAAGAAAGAAAGAAAGAAAGAAAGAAAGAAAGAAAGAAAGAAAGAAAGCTGGCAGCCTTACTTCTTTTTCTTTCAGACTTTGAAGAGTTAAGCAAAGAGCCAAACGCTATAAATAGCTAAATGCATAAGCTTTTGAAATATTTTCTGGGAGAGTGACAGGACTTTCTCACACTCCAACCTGCCAAAGCCCTTGTTAAAAAGAACAGCTGCAACTTGGGAGCTTGTCATGCGTTTTCTGTTCTTCCTTTCGCTCACTCGTCATTAATGAAAATATTTGGATTTTTAAAAGGGTCTTTTGTTTCTCAAGAGCGAATCTGCTCCTTCTGTTTATTCTCTACCTGCAGTCCCAGGGCTCTGCTTTTTGGCAACCCCACTGTGACGTTACAAACAAAGGATTCAATTTTTTTCGGTTGTGTAATTAAGTGGAAGGGGCAGATGAACCCTTAAGCAAATATCATGTTTTGATACCAATGTCTTCAGCAATAAAGGACAAGAAAGAAAAAGTAAATAAAATAAAGCATACAGAAGCAGAATTGTTACTGAACAGAAGAGCTTTTTCAGATTTCTCTGAGCTTCTATCAGCTGCGAGTAAAGAATGCCATTGTTTGTTCTTCATTGTCTATTATTCTCCGGGTACCCAATTTGGCTGAAGCACATCCTAAATGCTGGATCACATTTTGTTTCCTAGAGTTGTGTCCAATCTGGCAAAGTGTAGCAAATGGAAAGGAACCAGCCAAGGGCCCGACAGAATGTCCATTGACTGGGGTCAGGGCCATCTTTACTCGGGGGTGTAAGGGGTGTGGGGCGCCCGGGCGCTGAATTCTGGGGGGCGCCAGGTGCCTGCCGCTGAAGCCACCTGTGATGGCCTGGGATTCGGATTCGGATGCTGAACCTGAAGAATCCCAGCCTGCACAGGATTCCCCGCCTCCAGAACCAGCTGAGCCAAGGGCTGGGGCATGAGCCTGAAGGGTCCTCACCTGTGCTGGATCTTCAGGTGCAGACATCAGCTGAGTCTGCTCGTGATCCTGAGGGGGTGGAGGACCCATTGCCTGCAGGTGCTCCACTCTCAGCCCTGGTAGAGGAAGGTGAGGTTGCCTCTGGGTCCAGCCTCTCCTGAGCTGCAGAGGCTCAGGGCAGAGAGGCGGAGGGAACTAAGTTCTCGCAGGAGGAGTGCTCGCCTCCAGGCCAGGAAAGTCGAGTCACCTGAGGATCGGGGCCGCCCTGTGCCTCGGGGCAGATAAAAGCCAGCCAGCCCCAGTCCATGTTGCGGGAGCAACTTTGTTGGTTGACAGTTCCTGCCTGAACCCTGTCCTGCTATCCTGCCAGCGCTCCTGACATTAACCGACTACCTGCCCTGCATCCAGCTTCAACTTTTACGGACTGCCTCCATACTGCACCTTCGACCTCGGACTGGACTCGGACCTCACCTCTTGGTTAGCCCACGGGACCAGCACACCACCTAAGTGTGTTGTATTGAGCTGCTATGTGGCACCTTTGACACAACTGATATCACACCAAATGCAGGGAGAGCTCTCTGGAAAGTCTTGCTCACCAAAGCTGGGAGGAGGGGGAGTGGCAGGAAAGAGGGAGAGACAGACAGAAAGAGAACGTGCCTATCTAGCGATGGAAGTGCGCACAGGCTCCGGAAGAAGCACTAGTATATGCCTGCTCGCAAGGGCCCTCCCAGCTCCTCTAGAAATAAGGTTGCTCCCACAATGAAAGGCTGCCCCAGATGGCTCTCGCATGCATGCGCACAATGCCCATACATTTCATCTTTCAGACACCTCCCTACGACCATAAGCGCATGCATGTAGTGTTTACACTGACTCCCAATGTGTTCTTTGTCTTCTTTAGAAAAGCTGCTTTAAAACAAAAAACACACACAAAAACCTCCTTTTGGAGCTGCGCAGGCGTGAGCGCTATTTATCAAATGATAATAGTGAAATAAGCATAATAAAAGTTAATTTGGGGGCAAAACTAAATTTGGGGGCGCTGGGCGGATCTTTGCACCCCGGCGGCGCATATGCTAAAGATGGCCCTGGCTGGGGTGCAGCTAATATAAACCAGTGTGACGTGTAAGAAATGGGGATGTTTTTGAATTGGGGGTGTGGAGACAGAGATGCACAAGAAACCACTCTATATTAGAATGTTATTATATTAGAATGTGGGGGGGGGGTGTCTGTGCATTAACACACCTGTGCAAAGCCATCTGATTTCAAAGAACGGTTTTCTCTGAAAACAAAATGGCAACCAGCTATATCCTAAAGAAACTATGAATTCTCTCATCCTTTTAGCTGCCCTTTTCTGTTGATGCATAAATCCTGATTGAAGGACAGCCAGCACTCACTGTTCTAAATACGTCTATTCTGGTCCTTCAACAACATTCTTAACCAATGGGTAACTTCTGTAGGCAAAAGTATTGTTATGAGCTTGCCAGCACGTATTTTGTTAGCCCCAAAACAGAAAACGAACGAGGTCCCAACCAAAGAAGAATGGCAACTTAAGTTGACACAATATGCACAGCTTGCAGACTTAACATATAGAGTAAGAGAACAAGAAGAACATACATTTAGAGAAGATTGGAAATATTGAATATATGGGAAATAACTGTGTACAGCTGAAAACTCTGGCAGCACTGAGATAAATTCAACAGTGTAAATAAGTTTTGATGGATGTAATAATGGAATACTGAATGGTATAGTTTTTTGTAAAATATGCAGAGATTTATGATATGTAAAATGAACAATGGAAAGAGAAGATGGGAAGTCATTTAAGGATGTAACAATGAGTACTTTAAATTGTAGAAATATATATATATATATATATATATATATATATATATATATATGTTTGTAGGTGGTAGACAGCCTAAACTCCTGGACCTAGTAAGTGCTAGAATTTAATCAATGCATGAAATGTTAACACCAGGAAATATCCAGATCTGTGTTTGTATTAGGACAGACCTAGGTCCATTAAGCTGTGTGTTAGACACTTCTAAATTCCCTAATCAACAAGTGTTGAAGCTAATTAAGCTAGACCCCTGCAGCATGTTTGTGTGTGGTTTTCTCCCAACATAAAATATGGCCATTGAGTATATTCATTCTTATAATCTTTGTATCTATGGGCCGTCAGAATGGGTTCACCAATATGAAGTCATACGGGTAGAATCCTTTAGTCTTTTCTTCCCTATATTGGGGGGTGGGGCCTGAGGTGGTGTCTCACTCCCCTGCGGTCCCCCTCTTAAAGGGGTAATATAATGGGTGTCACTGGCCATACACTGAAAGGTCGTGTGGGGATATGGGCTGGGCTGGGCTGCCTGCTACACTTACATCTCGCAGAGCACCCCCATATCCCATTTACCCTGATGATACCCAGTTCCCCCCAGCTGGGGGGCTGGGAGGGATACATGCCCAAGGCCTAAGCCAAGGTCTTCCTACATTCGGAAGTTTAATAAAGTTGTGGCCTAATTTTAATTCCATATAACGTTGTCAGAGTTATTATTCCTTCCTTATGATCCCTGGGGGCTGGGGCTGTCGCCGCCTGGTCATGCCAATATACAGGCATTTCATTATTCCTTCTAAGCTGAGCGATCGAGTGATTGCATTTCTAGGCTGTTTTGCATTCAAATGAATTCCAAAGCGGCTTACAATGAACAACAGCGGCAAGCAACATAACAAGAGAACATCGCAGTCATAGCACAAAATGTCACATTTACAATGCTACACATTATTATTTTTTTGAGGGGGAAAATAGTGTGGCAGCAGAGTAATTATTATGAAGTTTGTATTTAAAAAAAACCATAGATGTTGACATGTGCACTGTTCTACTACAAATACTACGAGCATGGAACGGATGAGAAACACGTCAACACATCCTACTGAACCTTGCAGTTACATCACTGTGGAACTCCCAGTAACTGTCGATGAGGTAAAGTATTGTGCTACATACCCAAGTCTCGACATTTCACATGACCCTATGGAGAGATACGGCTGTCATGTCCTGCCAGACTATAACCCCCTGGGAATATGGGCTTGTGGTTTATTAAACGGAGGCTTTCCTGGGAGAGGAACATGTTTACTCAATCAGGCCTTGCAGAATTAAATAAAAGCTTAGAATAAATCCCAATTAAATGTTGCGTAATTATTTCCACAGAACAGGAAGAAGTCACTTTCCCTGAGACATAAATGAGGAACAAATCTTGAATGTTGTAAATTGAAGGGAACAGGACAATCTAACCTCTGTCTAGGTATCTATTTAATAGTACAGGGCAATGCTTTTCAAATAATGGGGCAAAACCTGCCAAGTCATATATCACAGAGGCCTTGTAGCTGAGGCAGTAGGCAGTAGAGTCAGAGGCGGTTGCTGAGACATACTTCAGACATAAATAAGTGACCCCAAAGCAAAGACTGCTGAGTTATACAGGTTTATTTAAATTAAAAAATGACAAAGACTCAGGCCTCTAATGTTATGTTCTCTCATAGGGGTAGAAAGTAAAATTATTTATTCACTATTCAGTCATTAGCCTCTTGTTCTTTCTTGCAATGGATGTGCAAAACTCTTCAAACAAAGCAGCTATTGGATTAAGTGGGGACAAACATGAAGAATAGTGTGAAACAGAAGTGGATTGAACAGCTGCCACCCACCCCCCCAAATAGAGAAAAATTATGTGTCTTCTGTCTCACATTTGCTGCAGTCCCGTGGCCACTATCAGGGAGTATGTCCCACTAAACTCAGGAGGTAAAGGTAAAGGACCCCTGGACGGTTAAGTCCAGTCAAAGGCGACTAAGAGGTGCGATGCTCATCTCGCTTTCACGCAGAGGGAGCTGGCGTTTGTCCACAGACAGCTTTCCGGGTCATGTGGCCAGCATTACTAAACTGCTTCTGGCACAACAGGACACCGTGACGGAAACCAGAGTGCACAGAAACACCGTTTACCTTCCTGCTGCCATGGTACCTATGTGTCTACTTGCACTGGTGTGCTTTCAAACTGTTAGGTTGGCAGAAGCTGGGACAGAGCAACATGAGCTCACCCCGTCACAGAGATTTGAACCATTGACCTTCTGATTAGCAAGCCCAAGAGGCTCAGTGGTTTAGACCACAGCTCCACCCGTGTCCCGAATAAACAATCACACAATCACTGATAGGCCACCCGCCATTGTAAGGCTCAAAGCAATGAAGATGATGCCTCCCCAGCTGTTGCCATTGGCTGTGGGTTTCTTGTGATGTCAGAAAAGCACTTGCAACTGAGTGGATATAAAGACAGGCCAAGAGGAAAGCCCTTTTCTATTTCCAGCAGGTCACACCTGGCAACGGATGTGACATTCAGCACTGCCCAGGTTTCTTCCACTTGTAGGAGGCAAACTGGTGAATGGAAGGAGGCAATCCTCTGGCAGTGGGATGCTATGGAGCAATAATAAGGCAAGTTTGCTTCCTTGAAGGCTGCTGGTATCTGTGGCTGGAAGCTGGCGGACATCTCATGATGGACCTAACAGTAGCTTCTGGCGCAACGGAACACCGTGACGGAAACCAGAATGCACAAAAATGCCGTTTACTTTCCTTCCACAGTGATACCTATTTGTCTACTTGCACTGGTGTGCTTTCAAACTGCTAGGTTGGCAGAAGCTGGGACAGAGTAACGGGAGCTCTCTCCACCATGGGGATTTAAACCGTAAACCTTCTGATCAGCAAGCCCAAGAGGCTCAAGTGGTTCAGACCACAACGCCACTTGCTCCCTTTTGCTTTTTACTTGGTGGGGGGGGGGACTTGTTTCTGAGTAGACCGGTGTACACTATCACTGTTGGTGTTACAGATACTTGTGGAATTCCCAGAAGTGTGTTATATTTCATGTACAGTGGTACCTCGGGTTAAGAACTTAATTTGTTCTGGAGGTCCATTCTTAACCTGAAACTGTTCTTAACCTGAGGTACTACTTTAGCTAATGGGGCCTCCTGCTGCCACCGCACCGCCACAGCATGATTTCTGTTCTCATCCTGAAGCAATGTTCTTAACCTGAGGTACTATTTCTGGGTTAGTGGAGTCTGTAACCTGAAGCGTCTGTAACCTGAGGTACCACTGTATAGCTGTTTTAATTAGGAGTAGGGTGATTACAGAGCAAAAGTTTAAGCAAAATGATCAGGATTCAGGGAAGACAATCTTACTCAGCTACAAGTGATTGCCAAAGAAAGAAATAATTTTATATGTTCATATCCTCCATGACTAACACTTAGCTGTTTATACCAAAACATAGTATAATTCATGCATACCTTTTTCACTGTCTCACTGGCCTGAGTGTTGAATAAGAATGGTACATATTTCATTCATGCTAAGATGCCTGTTGTTTGCAATGAGCCCTTGGACAAGCTCTGATTGGAGGTGAGTGGAAGCTCCAGCTGCTTCTTTCAACGTATTTTATTTCAATGGCAAAATATGCAAGGATTTGTTCAGACCCGTTCCAGATGCTCCACTGAACTATGTGACCTCAGAGCCAGTGCTGCAAATATATTTGAGGCATGATGTGCATTACAGCTGGCACTGCACTGCAGGCTGATATTTCGCTTGCCTGGGTTATTACTTCTTTGCTAGGACCAAAAAGAAAGGTAAAATACAAAGCATTACACAAACGGCATACTTGAACTTTGTACACAGAAACAGACTGTCAGCTTGAAGTATCGCTAGACCCAAAGTAACGTTGACTTAAGATTCAGACTTAAGATTTAGCTTGTACAGCGGGTTAGTTTCACTGCGTCATTGGTGAGATTTTGCCTCACCGCATTTCAGCCACACTTTTGCAGCTCTTTGAACTGGAGAGCCTCCAACAGAGATCCTGGTGTATGAAACCTCACTGCCTGTAGATTTCCAGTTATTTGTGGGGTTGTAACAAATAACTGGAAGTTATATTGAGAAAGCAAAAATCCTTGCACTGATGGGATGTGACAGTTAAGTATCACCCTCTATTTCCCACAGTGGCCAGGCAAACGCCTCTGAAGGGATTACAAGCAGAGTGTAAGGTCAACAGATTGGTCCTTTTTGCTTTGTTCCCAAGATAAGAACCTGGAGGTGGATCTGGAGATGAAGTTTAGCTGTCATGGCTAACACGAGGGGCTTCCATGGGCGGAGCTGGGATACAGAAGGTTAGAGGAACATTGTGTTTGTGGAGTGGCTTAGTAGGGAAGGGAGGCGACAAGAGCCGCAAGGGTGCTACTAGCCCAGAGATGAAAGAAGACAAAATCCCCACCAGAGAGGAATGGCAAATCAAGCTGATAGACTATGCTGAAATGGCAAAACTGACTGGAAAGCTCAGGAACCAAGAAGACAAAAACTTCAAGAAAGAATGGGAAAAATTTATAATTTATTTAAAGGTAAAGGGACCCCGACCATTAGGTCCAGTCGCGGACAACTCTGGGGTTGAGGTGCTCATCTCACTTTATTGGCTGAGGGAGCCAGCGTACAGGTTCCGGGTCATGTGGCCAGCATGACTTAGCCGCTTCTGGCGAACCAGAGCAGCGCACGGAAACACCGTTTACCTTCCCGCTGGAGCGGTACCTATTTATCTCCTTGCACTTTGACGTGCTTTTAAACTGCTAGGTTGGCAGGAGCAGGGACTGAGCAACAGGAGCTCACCCCGTCGCGGGGATTCGAACCGCCAGTCTTCTGATCAGCAAGCCCTAGGCTCTGTGGTTTAACCCACAGTGCCACCTGCGTCCCATAATTTATTTAGGAGACCGCTATAAGCAAATGAAACCATTAGCAGGATTTTAATAACACTTGTAATGTAACAAACACTGTGGACAATATGGATTGATTCAAAATATAGATTACGAAATAATATGCAGTTGAAAATGTTGACAACAGGACCCATGGAGGGGAGTCTCGAGTTTCAGAGCAATCTCTAGATATGGATATGTATTTGATATTGTGTTAACTCTATATTTGTAAAATCAAATAAAAAAGATTTTTAAAAAAAGTAGGGAAGGGAGGAGTTGTTGCAGCCCCCCTTTTCGGATACACCATATACCTCTGATTATTTGGGCTATATCCGCATTGTTGCAACCATTATGCATGATAAACATAAATTAGGTTTGCACATGTTGTATGTTCAATATGCTCTAGCTGCAAACATAGCATTCTAGACACCATATTGGGCTAGTCTTTTTCCTTCCAGGTTCACATTTCTGCTGCCGAAATCAGGACTGACCCAAGACCTTTTGCCACCTGAAGCAAAGAACGAGGTGGTGCCTCTGCTCCCATTTGTATGTACAGCAGCTGACTGAACTGGCAGAGGAAACTTTACCGCAACGATGACAGAGGGGTCATTGTTCCCAATGCAGCTGAGGAGCTAGTTTGGGGTACATTACCGGGCTGTGGCACACACAGTTCTGAACTCCGAGAGAGGAGAATGGCCAGAATGCTTAGGAGGAATGGCCAGTGTTGGGATGCTGCTCTACATCCTCATTCTCATCAGGCCAATTACCTCATCTCCCATATGGTAGGGTCGGCCTTGACTGAATGCCACACTTCCCTGGTGCCTCACTCCATCACAGACTTGCCAATGCTGACACATTTGTTTTTCCGCATCAGTGGAGATATAACTACTGGTAGGGTGAGATGGCACAAAGATGGCGAATCTTCTATACTCTTCATAAACTGCAAGCCTTTTCATTGCCGATATCATTATTAAAATAAAAGCACTGAGAGCTGGACTGTGTCTGAAGACCAGCAATAATTGTGCACTGTGTGGGGGCCCAAGTGGGCATAGTTACAGGCATCTGTTGTTGATACAGCTTGCTATCAGAAGCAGAGCAGAAGGGTATTATCTCAGAAATAAGACTGGAAGCATTTTCCCTCAGAAAGACACAGCTCTTCATCCTGCAACTTTCCATTTCCTCTCTAGCCCATAAGGCTGGCCAGAATAAGTCAAAACCCTGATGACACATTATGACACTTGAAGTGTTTGAGTATGGTGCTCAACGTGTTTGTTTATTATGGTGTGCCTTTGTATTTGCAGGATGAACGGGGGATTTCCGTGTCAGTCCTCTCATCTCAGTTTATTAACTTATGCTGCAGAAGATACATATTCCGATGATAAGAATGTGCAACAAATTTCACCCAGGTTATCGAGCACTGAGACGAAGGCCTACTTTTCACTGAGGTGATAAATTCGTGCCTGGTATATATTCCTGGCATGTAGAAAACTTTTTATTGTTTAGTCGTTTAGTCGTGTCCGACTCTTCGTGACTCCATGGACCAGAGCACGCCAGGCACGCCTGTCTTCCACTGCCTCCTGCAGTTTGGTCAAACTCATGTTCATAGCTTTGAGAACACTGTCCAACCATCTTGTCCTCTGTCGTCCCCTTCTCCTTGGGCCCTCCATCTTTCCCAGCATCAGGGTCTTTTCCAGGGAGTCTTCTCATGATGTGGCCAAAGTATTGGAGCCTCAGCTTCAGGATCTGTCCTTCCAGTGAGCACTCAGGGCTGATTTTCTTCAGAATGGATAGGTTTGATTTTCTTGCAGTCCATGGCACTCTCAAGAGTCTCCTCCTACTTGATGCCAAAGAGAGGGGTACTATCCTACCCTATCTTTCCCCCATGACATGATCCGGTTTTCTTTTTTGCACCGAAGTGTCTTTTCTTGTATGGTGAGACACCAAAAGACTTCTAAAAGGCAATAAGTGAACAGCTCTGTTTAGAGCTTTCATATTGCTTGCTATGAGAGCACAGCATGCTACTGACACCTTTCAGATCCCTGCTGTCTCTGTTCCACAACTTTCTGTAATTTACCATGGATACCTCTCTTCCCCAACAAATCGAGCTCAAAGCCACATCATTGGTTGTGCAGTTCCGGAGAAACAGACATGTGTAAGGACTGGTATCAGGTGGATCCATGGTCCCCCAGGAAAAGACCATGGGTTCACGGGTAGATAGGTCTTCTTTATTTCTCATTTACTTGCAATGAGATACTTTCCTTCACTTAAGAACTTTCCTGTATTACTGTTCATGCATATTCGTCAGGGTGAGGCTAGATGCCTTCTAAAGAACCCACCATGTTCCACTGGAAATGCAGGCTTCCTTTTTTCACAAAAAGTCCCTCAGGAGAGAACTGTCAAAGGTCAGTTTCTATGTGTTTAGAAATCATATAATCTGTTCACTAGGTGGCACTGGACATAGTTGTAGCTGGATAGAGTGAGAAGTTTCCTTTGGCTGCTCTGGTTTAAAACAAATGAAGAGTTCTTGTTTACTTTCCCTACTGATGTGTCTTCTGTGCCTTCCATGCCTCTAAGGTCAGACCCTGGCTTGTTGAGACAGCTGGTATATCAGGGGAGAGTTAGGTGATGGTTAGTGACAATTTCTTTGATGGCCCCTTTTCTACATCATGCCACTAGCTCCTTGACTCCACTCTCTTGTCAATCAGGGTAGAAGTAAATCTCTTGCAGTTTTTGTCAGAATATGGTTTCCTGTATTGGATCCCAGGGAGGGACATCAGCTTCAAGGGCCAGCCAGCTCTGGGCGCTTCTCCCTATCATTAATTTGTTCAAAAAAAATAAATTCATTTTAGAGCCTGACAGGACACTAAAAGTGGAGTGGGTTATTTCTCAAAACACTGCCAACTACAACTTAAATACTATTCAGGGTTGACCGTACTATAATATCTTAATTGCTGCTTCTGGAAAACAAGAACTAGGGTCTGGGGTGGCCTCTTCATAATGGATTTCCTTCTTCTTCTCATTATGTGAACAGTTTCTTAGCATCCAGTTCAGTATCAGAGGCAGAGCAGTTGAAAAGGAACATGTTTTAAGATGGAATTTGGGGGAGGAAAAAAGCATGGGTTACGTCACATCAAACTGGCTTCAGAAATCTTCCATTAAAAGCCCGCTTTCTACTGGGAATTAATAAATGGGATGATGCATAACAATGAAATAGAGAGAGAGATTGAACTATTTGCAAATGGCAGTTTCCCTCGTGAATTTGTGTCAGATACCAGCTCAGAACTAAAAGCTTGTGAACTGATCCGTAAAAATACAGTAGTTGGTTGGAAAACATGAGGTTGAACACAACTAAGTTTTACTGAGAGTTAGACCCAGTGCTTTTTTTCTTAAAAAATGTTTAGGGGTACTCTCATTTTGACTCAAGAAAATCACCATTTTATATTTCAATTTGGGAAAAATAAAGACAGTAAATGGACAAAAGTACAACGATTCATAAAATGTTTAGGGGTATGCGTATCCCTGCGTCTCCCCAGAAAATAGCCCTGGTTAGACCCATTCAAATGAATGGACCTAAATTGGGCGTGTCCATTAATTTGAATGGGTCTAACTGAGTAACATTGGATACAACCCACATATAACTTATTAGGAGGACTGAAAACAAATGGATACGAAGTCTTGCAGACTGAGATCTAATTCGTACAGTATCCAAGCAGTGTAACAGGAACAAAAACTGTGTGAGTATCTCTGCTTCTTTGTATAGTTATCTTACAAGTTCAGTGAAATAAGTGTTTGCCTCAGAAATTTAGAAGAAAAAGCTTGAAACTGCAGGGTGTGTTTATGTTGAGAGCTTTGAAAAACAGAGAAAGCCCACCGCTGCCATATCTTGAAAATTAAAATCCTATCCAAAATTGTTCTCTGAGCACTTATGACCATTCTGAATGTAAGAACATACAATTCAGCTTGTTAGTTTCAGAGATATACTTGATGCTTTTATGCAAACATAAACCAATCAGCCATTTTCCAATAATGTGGCTTTTACCCAAGTTTGGAGCTTTCAGCGTGTTTACCATAGTTACCAAATGAACATACCCTGCAGTTTTCAACCTTTTCTTCTGAATGTCTGGCTTGGGCCTAAAATACTATCGCCACGTATGAGATGGCACTGATATGGTTCAGTCGAGTTTTCCAACCACATCAAGAAACGTCCTCCAGTCATAATGAGGGGTTTCCTTAGTATGGTTAGAATTATTCTGAACATCTGTTTACATAGTTACCTAAGTTCCTAGAGAGGGATTTAGGTTCCATGAAGCAATCATATTACTAGGATAACAAGAGCTATTGAGATGTTGCGCTTAGAGCGTTGGACTAAATTTTTGAAGTCGTAAGTTCAAATCCCCAGTCAGCCATGAAGCTCATGGGGTGATTTTGGGACAGTCACTATCTTCTCCCAGGTGGTTACCATGAAGATAAAATGTGAGGCATCTTGTGTGCTGCTTGAGCTTCTTGGAGAAAAGATGGGATAAAATAATTACAATGATGATGATGAAAAAACAGGTCTCTGTTATCAATGAGAACCTTTTCTCCAGAATTTTAGCTAACATTAGCTAGACCATCCAAGAATGGTCAGTTATGGAGTCAATGCGTGTTCACTTACTAAATGCACACTTTTTCATAATATTACCACTATTCCTGTCAGTAGCTTCTTAACCCCTCAGCATTCGTTGCCATCTTTGTGTGGTCCTGGATACTGGACTTATCCCCAGCTAGAGCTTACATAAAGTTTTGAAGGCACTTTGCAATGACTGCAACTATCTCAATTCTAGATGTTTTCTCAAAGCTATTGTAGACCCTGGGGCCAGTTCATAACAATAGATCCATTGTCAACAGCTTCTTCAGAGGAAGCAATCAGAAAGGCCTGAGGGCCAAGCCGTTCTTTAGTACTTGCACTTCACTTGTGGCAAGGAATAACTTGAGCTGCCTTAAACTGGAAGGCTCAATGAGTTGCTATATCTGGCAAAACTGGGATTTGTTTATTTCCTGGCTGTAACAGTGAGTGTTTGACGAGTTACTATGAGAGCTGCTTGCATTATAGATTCCTAACCCAAAACAGTTTAACAGGCAAGATTTGGGAGCAACATTCCCCGTTTCCCACTAATCTGATTAAACGGAGGCTTTTATTAGCTGAGGCCAAAATCTCTGACGACTCTCTGAGAAAATGAGTGGGATTGAAAAGGAGGAAAGCCATGCTTTCTGATGAGGAGATCTAATTTGAGCTGCATGGCCCCTGGCTCCAGAGATCTCCTCGACTCAGGATGTTTACAGTTGACAAAACTCTCACACTCCTCCTTCCTGCGACTCCTTTTCCCCTTCCAGAAAAATAATAAATTATAGCAATATGACTTTCCATCCTGTCCTCCCTCTTCCTGAAAGACTCCACCGTTTGGCAGTTTTATTTCATTCACTTTTTCTGTTCCATTGGCTGCATGTGTCTTGCTCACTCTGCTGTTGTCCTCAGCCAGGGCAGGATGCTGGTAGTTTTGCAAAGACTGAGGTGGTCATTCCCAAGCATCTACACACACTTTGTAGAGGTGTAGCATTGGGCCTCCACAACTAGTCCCTACACCACTCGACTTGTGGAGTGATCAGGTACAAAAGTGGCTGTGTCTACTGCACCTTTGATAGTTAGACAGAAGAGGGGATTTCAGGAGATGTAGTTTGTCTCTTGGGGTGGGCACTTAAGAGTTAAAGCTGGTCAGGCTGGTGCTTCTTTTATCTAATTTATTAATTTAATATAGTAGCTTTTTTCCCTTATAAGAATACAATAACCTACTCAGAGCTTTGAGGGCTGAGTATCAATGCATACCTACTCGGAATTGCTGAAATGTGTAAGTCCGAATCAGATAAGTGCTGGAGTTGTGTAACGAGGTTGAGGGTATGTTTTATCATATGTGTTGGACTTGTAAAAGGCTAAAAGAGTATTGGGAGATGATATATAATGAATTTTAAAAATGTATAAAAGTACCTTTCCAAAAAAAAAAAAAAACCAGAGTCCTTTTTGTTGGGGATAATTCAGAAGGAAATTATCAGGTGTTAAAAAAGACTATTTGTGTATGTTACTACTGCGGCTCGTGTTTCGTTAGCCCAAAAATGGAAAACGAGCGAGGTCCCAACTAAAGAAGAATGGCAACTTAAACTGATGGAATATGCGCAGCTTGCAGATTTAATATACAGAATAAGCGAACAAGAAGAATGTATGTTTGAGGAAGACTAGAAAATGTTTACTGAATATATGGGTAAAAACTGTGTTCATTTAAAAACTCTGGTAGCATTAAGATAAATTCAACAGTGTACATAAGTTTTGATGGAGGTAACAATGGATACCTGAATGGTTTAAAGGTAAAGGGACTCCTGACCATTAGGTCCAGTCGTGGCCGACTCTGGGGTTGTGACGCTCATCTCGCTTTATTGGCCGAGGGATCCGGCGTACAGCTTCCGGGTCATGTGGCCAGCATGACTTAGCCGCTTCTGAAGAACCAGAGCAGCACACGGAAACACCGTTTACCTTTCCAGCGGAGTGGTACCTATTTATCTACTTGCACTGGCATGCTTTCAAACTGCTAGGTTGGCAGGAGCAGGGACCGAGCAACGGGAGCTCACCCCGTCGCAGGGATTTGAACCGCCGACCTTCTGATCGGCAAGTCCTAGGTTCTGTGGTTTAACCCACAGCGCCACCCATGTCCCTTACCTGAATGGTTTAGTTCATGTAAAATATGCAGGGATGTATGGTATGCAAAATGAACCATGGAAAGAGAAGAAGGGAAGTCATTAATTTAAGGTTGTTTAAATGAATATTTTGAAATGTAAATTAGAAAAAAATTAATAAAAATGAGAGAGAGTGTGTATCAATGCATACCTGAGAAAAATGCCTCTCGACAGGGTCAATAATCTTGGGAAGAAGTAGAAAGCAGGACCCCATAATTCTCCAGGTGATATAACAGAAGCCAAACGCAAAGACTCACAATCAGGTGAGTTGGGGCACTTTACAAAGAGCTTCAGGTTTGTGTAATGCATGGGCAGGCAAACTAAGGCCCAGGGGCCGGATCCAGCCCAATCGCCTTCTAAATCCGGCCCTCGGGCAGTCCAGGAATCAGCGTGTTTTTACAGGAGTAGAATGTGTCCTTTTATTTAAAATGCATCTCTGGGTTATTTGTGGGGCCTGCCTGGTGTCAACAGTCAACTTTAAGAAATAAATAAATCTGGCTGCAGCTCTGCGTATATTATACAGCAGAGGTCATCTTTGAAAGGCGCTTTGTAGTATTTGAGCACAGCTTCTAATCTTATTCTTATATAAGCAGGACCTTGTCTAGTGCAGAGTAATTTAAGGATACTGAAGGTGTAATAAAGGTTGTATAGACGCACTGATTGAAAAAAAAAATCAGATACAAAGGGATATTTTCAAGCACTCGCTTCCAGTTTAAGGGAGGTCATGTAGCTGAATATGCCTTGCATACTTTGAACGTTACAACCGCTCATTACCAAGAAAAAGAGTTTTCTATCTATATTATTCACACATGAAAACTGTCTGTGAGAAGCTCTGCATTAATGAAACAAAGGCCCCCAGGGAACAGTGAGTCAGAATGTTTGCTTTTAAAATGCAGTGGAAAGTATGCTGTTTAATTTAATACACACACTCTCTTCAGTGTGGTTTCCTAGGTGCCTAAATAGTGTGTGGCTACAATCCTTATGGTATGAATAGCAGAAAATGCTTAATGCTCTGAGAAGCTTGTAATTTTGCACCATAGAAATGAGTCATTTTTGCAAAAGAGCCCAGCGGGAAGACTGAGCCTCTTAAGGCTAATCTGATTTTAAGAAGGTAAAGAGTGTATTTGAGCAACACTTTAGAAATGCCTAATGTCACAAAATTCCCTCATGTGCTTATTAGAAATAAATTTAGTACTGAACTACTGGAAGGGAGATTAGAAAGAGTTTGTGCTACTACCAGAAATAAGAGCGACCTCTGCATGTCCTGTTATTTCTCTTGTCGAGCAGGCTGTGATGAAAGATTCAGAAGGCCCTTGCATAATATCCTCAAATACATCTTGCATAGCAGTCTTGCAAGAAATGATATTGTGCAAGGAACATGTGCCTGGAGAGCTGTGTCTCTGCAGAAACATATTAGGCAGGTGACAGATGTAATCATAAACCCAGTGAGCATTATTAATTGTTGCTGAAGGTGGGTATGGAGTTTTCTTTTCTTTTCTTTTTTTTGTTATTTGGGATGCTGTAAAAAAACCAGTAACCTGACATTTGTGAATGACCAGTGCTAATGTAATTATTACTGTACATTTCTGCATTGCGTACAATTCACTACTATGAGGTGATATCCAACATTCGCCATATTCAAAATGGACCAGTTTCAATGAGCCTGCTTTGAGTATTACTAATATTGCTTATTTCTAATAATATATACCTGCAACTCAAGATTATACTTAATGCACCTGTAGTCTGCAAAAGCTAATGTCCTAATAAATATGCTAAATCTTTAAGGTGCTACAAAACTCCTTGGAGTTTTTTTTTGGGGGGGGTGTATTTTGTTTTGTATTTTTACCCAGAAGACAATAGACTTGTTCAGCTAGCCAGGAGTATGTAAAGAGCTCCTAGCATTTTGTTCATTTTGTCTGGCACTTCAAAACCTTATCCGTTTGCAAAAGTACTGCAAAATCAGTGTTGGAAAGCCTCCTTAAAGAATTGCAGATCCTGGCGTTCCTTGAGGGAAAATGATAACAGTTGAATTGGCTATAGGTTGCTTTTAAAAGTGAAAATGGTCATAAGGAATATAGGCACACACCCTATATGCATCCCACTTGTATGCAACCATGTTTATGAGGGTCACCACAAAATAAATAAACAGGCCTTCCCTCACTCGGGGTTACTGCCCAGAAGTCCCTCGGGGCTGCTGCCCAAGCGAAGGAAGGCAGACTTTGATAGACCAACAGGGTGGGGGGCACCTTCTCCCTGCCTCCGCTGCTCCACTGGGTGTCCATGCTCCTCTCCAAGTACCTGTTCTTCTGGGGAACCTTCTCAGCCCTCACCCTCTGTGGTCAGCTGCCGTAGCCACACACTCTGGCTCCCCCAAGAGGGCAGGCAGGCAGCCTCACCACAGGCTAGGCAGCGGCCCTGAACAATTTCCAGGGTGAGTCTCTCTCTCTTTCCTCCCCACTATCAGGAAC